ACGCTTCTCACGTTAGCAGTGGTTCCGTTGATAGCAATCTCAGGAGGAGGGTATGCTATAGTCATGTCCACAATCTCACAGAAGAGTGAAGCTGCTTATGCTGATGCAGGAAAAGTCGCAGAAGAGGTTTGTTTATACACTAATTGCTGAGATTGGTTTCATATGCGTTAACGTGTGAAAAACGTTTTCACATCGTCAAAAACGTAATAACATTTCTCAAATTTTCACAGAAATGTACATTTCATAACATGCTAAAAATTGGGTTGACTAGAAAAAAACCTCCATGTAATCGGAAAATCAAATGAAAACGGAAATAAACAATCAAGAAGACCTAAATCTGTTCTTTTTATTCAATTCTTAACACTTGGATTGATCCTAGAAAACATCCTTGTCTTTGTATCTTCAGGTTATGTCACAGGTGAGAACAGTGTATGCATTTGTAGGAGAAGAGAAAGCTGTAAAATCTTACTCAAATTCTCTGAAGAAAGCTCTGAAACTCGGCAAAAAGAGCGGTCTTGCTAAAGGATTAGGAATTGGATTAACATATAGCCTCTTGTTCTGTGCTTGGGCTTTGCTTTTGTGGTATGCAAGTGTTCTTGTACGCAACGGCAAAACCAACGGCGCAAAAGCCTTCACAACGATCCTCAATGTCATTTACAGCGGATTGTAAGTCCGAAAATCGACCTTTTGCTTGATATATCATCAAATTGCATCATGCAAATAACTTTTGTTGCATTTGCAGCTCCTTAGGTCAAGCCGCGCCTAGCTTATCCGCGATTGCCAAAGGCAGAGTTGCTGCTGCAAACATATTCAGAATGATAGGGAATAACAATGATGAAAGTTCTGAAAGATTAGACGACGGGACAACATTGCCAAACGTAGCTGGGAGCATTGAGTTTGATCAAGTGTCTTTCGCATATCCTTCTAGACCAAACATGGTTTTTGAGAATCTTAGTTTCACAATACCTTCAGGCAAGACTTTTGCATTTGTCGGTCCAAGTGGTTCAGGGAAAAGCACCATCATATCAATGGTTCAACGTTTCTATGAACCTAACTCAGGGGAGATTCTCTTGGATGGGAATGACATCAAGAGCCTGAAACTGAAATGGCTGAGAGAACAAATGGGATTAGTAAGTCAAGAACCGGCATTATTCGCCACGACCATAGCTTCCAATATTCTTCTAGGTAAAGAGAACGCGAATATGGATCAGATCATAGAAGCTTCTAAAGCAGCCAACGCAGATTCCTTCATTAAATCATTACCTAATGGTTACAATACTCAGGTAAACTACTTGAATTTGAATAATCATCTTCTCATGTTTCCACTTCATTACTAATTAAACCATTCAAATAGGTTGGAGAAGGAGGAACTCAGCTCTCAGGAGGACAGAAACAGAGGATTGCGATTGCTCGAGCAGTTCTAAGAAATCCAAAGATATTACTCTTAGATGAAGCAACAAGCGCTCTTGATGCCGAATCAGAGAAGATTGTTCAGCAAGCACTTGACAATGTCATGGAGAAAAGAACAACTATAGTTGTTGCACACAGATTATCCACCATTCGGAATGTTGACAAGATTGTTGTTTTTAGAAATGGTCAGGTTATGGAAACTGGTGACCATTCAGAGCTGATGTCCAGAGGAGGAGACTACGCGAGTCTTGTGAATTGCCAAGACGCAGAACCTCAAGAAAACACAGGATCAATTATGTCGGAATCTTGTAGATCACAAGATGGGTCTTCTCGTTTAACAAGAGCTTGTAGCTTAAAGAGGACAAGCTTCAGGGAAGACCATGAGAAGACTGAAAATGATTCAAATGTCGAAGATTTAAGCTCATCTTCAATGATATGGGAGCTGATAAAACTGAATGCTCCAGAATGGCCTTACGCATTACTTGGCTCAATTGGTGCAGTTCTGGCTGGAACACAACCGGCATTGTTCTCCATGGGGATTGCTTATGTGTTAACCGTGTTTTATTCCCCTTTTCCTAGTGTGATCAAGCGCGACGTCGAAAAGATAGCTATTTTCTTTGTTGGAATTGGAATTGTAACAACTCCTATATATCTCCTCCAACATTACTACTACACACTAATGGGAGAGCGTCTTACTTCTCGGGTTCGCTTATCCTTGTTCTCAGGTAAACACAAACAATTTAAACATCCTTTTTTGGATCGTCTCGATTCTTGAATGTTTATCTATCTTTACAACAATTGCAGCGGTTCTTTCGAATGAGATTGGGTGGTTTGATTTGGATGAGAACAACACTGGCTCACTTACCTCAATCTTAGCTGCTGATGCAACTTTGGTGAGGAGTGCTCTAGCGGATCGCCTCTCGACAATAGTACAAAACATATCTCTTACAGTCACGGCATTAGCACTTGCCTTTTTCTACAGTTGGCGCGTTGCAGCTGTCGTAACTGCTTGTTTCCCTCTTCTCATTGCCGCTTCACTTACCGAGGTAACTCAAAACCAAAGCTCGCTTCAACCATATTCTGAAATTGAATCTTGAAACTGAAAGAAAAGCATGAAATGTTGTTATATGTTACAGCAACTGTTTCTAAGAGGCTTTGGAGGAGATTACACGAGAGCTTACTCTAGAGCAACTTCAGTGGCGCGTGAAGCGATTGCGAATATAAGAACTGTCGCTGCGTTTGGTGCTGAGAAGCAAATCTCAGAGCAGTTTACTTGTGAGCTAAGCAAACCCACCAAAAATGCTTTTCTCAGAGGTCATATCTCTGGATTTGGATACGGTTTGTCTCAGTGTCTCGCGTTCTGTTCCTACGCTCTAGGTCTCTGGTACATCTCGGTTTTGATTAACCGTAAGGAAACCAACTTTTCGGATAGTATCAAGTCTTTCATGATATTGCTCGTCACTGCTTTCTCAGTAGCGGAAACGCTTGCCCTGACTCCAGATATCGTAAAGGGGACGCAAGCACTCGGGTTGGTTTTCAGGGTTTTACATAGAGAGACTGAGATAGATCCAGACCACCCTAAGTCAAGATTGGTGACTCAGATCAAAGGAGATATAGAGCTCAGAAACGTGAGCTTTGCGTATCCCACGAGACCCGAAATCACCGTTTTCCAAAACCTAAACCTCCGAGTCTCACCAGGGAAAAGTCTTGCTGTCGTGGGACCTAGTGGTTCGGGAAAGAGCACGGTCATCGGACTGATTATGAGATTCTACGATCCGAATGAAGGAAAACTCTGCATCGATGGGCAAGACATAAGAGCCCTAAACCTACGTAGCTTGCGCAGGAAGCTAGCGTTAGTCCAGCAAGAACCAGCTCTGTTTTCAACAACCATACACGAGAACATCAAGTACGGTAACGAAAACGCGACTGAGGCAGAGATCATCGAAGCCGCAAAAGCCGCAAACGCGCACGAGTTCATAAGCAGGATGGAACAAGGGTACAAGACTCAGGTGGGTGATAAGGGAGTGCAGTTATCAGGTGGTCAGAAACAGAGAGTAGCTATCGCGAGGGCGGTTCTGAAAGATCCATCAGTGCTTCTCCTTGATGAAGCAACGAGTGCTTTGGACACAAACTCGGAGAAACTGGTCCAAGAGGCACTAGACAAGCTGATGAAAGGACGAACCACGGTGTTGGTGGCTCATAGACTCTCGACCATAAGAAAAGCAGACACAATCGCTGTGTTGCATAAGGGAAGAGTTGTGGAGAAGGGAAGTCATAGAGAGCTTATGTCCAAATCTGATGGGCTTTATAAGCAACTTACCAGTCTTCAACAAGTGGTGTGATTTATGATCGTTCAAAGTTTCTTTTTGCTAGATTATAATCCGTGTAATACGGTGAAATTGATGTTTTGTTGTGTTCTTGTTTCGATATTCGATTTATGATTAAAGTGTGTATAACTTTTTAAGTTTTACAAAGGTACAAGGATACACATACTGAATTTATACGACGTTTTAAAATAAACTCGCAGTTCTGATATTTTTATTCTTCGTAGTCTCTTCATAGACTACTTTTATATGCAAAATCCTCGGATTGAAAATATCCAAGCTACATTAGGCTTTCAATAGTTTCATCGCATTCACCACCATGCAAATAGTATCAATGTGAAAATAGAAAGATTAAGAGAAACACATACTCAGACTGAATAGAAAGATTAACAAACCAAGACTCAATCCCGATTTGCCAAAGGTTTAAGAGGAAAAAACTAGTTAGAGAATAGGCCAGGGAAAGAGCGAGCAGGGACACTAAAAGGTTCAGACTTTGAGAGGAAAATGCAAAGGTCTCCGATGTCTTGAGTTTAAACAGCGTTTCCTTCTTGGTCAACTTTGAACACCATTAATTAGAGCTCTTGTTTTCATTTTCACCGTACCCTTGGTAGTGGCCCTCCTGTACCACTTAAGTAAGAAAGTCTCACCAGTGGAAGGCGAGTCGACCAAGGCCCTGTTCGCTGCGTTTGCAGCAGCGACGAACAAAAACAGAGTAAAAAGGCGGTGGTGAAAATTAAAAGGTGTCGCTGAGCACAATAAACTAAGAGGTGTTGGTGATCGGAGATGTCGCTGAATTTTCTAGCAGCAGCGACTAAAAGAAAAACGAGTCGCTGCGTCTCCAAAATCAACGCCGGCCATAGTTCTCCACAATCTTGAGCCCCAAGCAACTTAGTTGAGGACCCAAGAACTTGAGAGCAACAACACAGTCATCATCCTCGGGAGAAGATGAGGACATTGATACATTGGTGGCCGTCTTGGTTTGACAACCAGGTAGAGTTACAAGAGGAGGCAAAGGAACACGTTTCGGGTTGGAATCAGATGTAATTGGGTTTAGATCGTCTTGGAGTCATACAATTCCGTCGTCTTTCAAAGTACCATCTTATTTTATGGTGTGACATCTTAATTATATAAACACAAACTGAAAGCATCTTATTTTATATTCATAACACCATGTTATATATGCTAATTTTTTTTTAAACAAAAGAAAAACATGTCTAACTTGGGAAATCTGTCAAGACCTTATATTCAAAGTACAGACTAAAGAAGTTAAACTTCCTCCACCGAAGCAACTTCAGAAACCACCTCTTCATATTCCTTTGTCTCTTCGTCGTATTTGTACCATTTACCGGTTGTTGCAAAGCAGTATAGTCCCGTGTTTGGGTCATAATAATAACCAAGGCTGTTGCTGTAATAGTACCCGGAAGACTCGTCAAAGACATAACCAGATCCATCATTTGTGTCCCCATGTTGCGAGGCCCCATCTTCATCATCGCCAAACATATCACAGGATTCTGTATCAGCATTCTCATTTACTCTCGCTTGAGCTAGTTTCTCGTATCCCTCTGCTTCACGTTCAAAAACTTCTAGCTTTTGAAGATAAACGTCGTAGTCGCCATTCTGGATGAGCTTGTCCGCATCATCAGTAAGCTGATCAAAGATGAGCTTTGTCTCATACGTCATCTTTTCCTTGCGATTATTCCCTTTCAGCCTCCTTAAAGCTCGCAAGACCGTTTCCCCTTGTTCAAGGACATTAGCAATACGCCTCTTTATGACTCCAATATCTTGTTGAGAAAGTTCATCGGCTGATTTTTCGTTCCCATGACTATATTCATCCTTCTCAGTATCATTTGCAGAAGATCGTCCCATATACATGGGATTATTTTCAATACTGTCAAGCCATGCATCCTTGACTTTTTTCTCAACATATTCTACAAAGTTGCCATTATCATCAAAGTATCCTTCTTCTTTCTCCCTGTCTAGACTAAAAGCTTCGACCTGAATCCCATCTTCTGTGCGGTTCCCATCATTCTCATAAGTCTCCTCAGCCTCATCGAAGTTGTCATCGTCAGCAGTAAGCTGATTGCGAGCCCGTGCACGGGCTTGGAGTTGGCGGGGAGCTTCAGTATCTTCCTCTAAGACTTGTTTAGGTTTAGATTTCTTCCCTTTTGGAAACCGTACTCGTTTTTCTGGTGGTTTCTTATTGGAATCATAATCATCTTCTAAGAAAGATCGCTTGAGGTTCTTCCTCCACGAATTCTCTGCCATTGTTATTACCAAGTTTAGCACTTTTTTTTATCTCTCTTGGGATTTGTTACTTGCGTGAAAAGAAACAAATTTCTTCTCCACTCCTTTTCTCTATCTCTCTCGTGAACAAAACCTTTTTGTTAATCTTTTCGTATGATTTGACGAGACCAATGCCTACATATATACATGATTGAGATTTCCAATTCCACAAAGAGTATATCTTGCGATTCTTGGTTAGTGAAAAAAGGAAATAATACCAATTAATTACATTCCTTATTAGATAAGGAAACACGTGCACAAGATATACTCTCTTTGTGGGTGGTGGGATTTGGAAATCTCAAAAAGCCAAAAAACGGGAAGCAGCTTTATCCAGAAGACAAAAACAACACGCTGTTTTCTCACCCGCACGTGGCACCTGAAAAATATCAAAAAGCCTCAAGGAAATGCTAACGCGACAACAAATCTTCCATCACCACCAACAAAAATCTGCCACGTATCATAATTTCACCATCGTCTCCTTCAATTTTCTTCCCCCTTTCCATAAACCCCTCAAAACCCCTCTTTTTAGGGTTTCATCTTCAAGCTTCGATTTCTCGGTCACTCCTCACTGTTCAAGCTACTGATTTTACTAATTCAGAGTCTTCAAGTAACTTCGTCTCTTTGCGTTGATGTAGCAAAAGAAAAA